TATTCCTTTTCCTGTCTCTTGCTTTGTACTCATAATTTTGAAAACATACTTAGGTCATAGGGTCCTGGATCCCTGGCTTAAGAATTTTTCAAATAGGGTACCCTATTGTGGCATTTATCACATTTTGTAATTGTTGGTTTACTTTTCCGTGTCCACTAGGCTGAGCTGGACGAATACAGGGAGGTGATATGTTCACTGTTATATCCTTTGGGCTTAGCATGGGGCTTGACACCTAGGACATATTTGACACATACTTGCTGAATGAATTGACAACTATCTGCCATGGTGTTCTTTGAAGAAGCAAGGTATGCATGTTAGAATGACAAGCAGAAGGTAGAAAGGCCAGAGATATGCAGCTGGTGGACATTGTCTGAGAGCTCAGATCCCAAGGTGGCTGGTTAGGCCTCTTGGGAAAAAGTTAACTTAGGAAGGCCCTTAGATTGACCTTGGGGAGCTGGAAAAACTTAGTATACTCATTTTTTATTTCTAGAAATATTTTGTCCAATTTTTAGCAGTGAATAAAGGAGCAAAAATGACTAAGCCTCAAGCCCTGGATGGTTCCTGCCCCTCAGGAATTATTAGAAGCCCGTGGGATTATGAGAAGTCAAGAGAAAACCTCCCTTTCTCATTTTCTTCTCTCCAATAAATGGTTTTTAGTGATGCCAAGCACTTTGATATGTGTTGAGGATATCTTGAGAAATAAATCAAAGTCCCACACCTTTTGATTCTTGCTATGTATAAAGAATTTGGACCAATGCTTTGAATTTTGGATTTTTTAAAAATGTATTTAGTATAGGGTCTACAGGGCCTCACTACACAGATTGGACTCGTAGTAATCCTCCTGTTTTCAGCCTCCCAAGTGCTGGGATTACAGGTGCGCACCACCATGCTCAGTCTTGATCGCTGTTTCAGTGCGCCCCAGGGGTGGGCTGGCATGGCACACAGGGGATTGAACTCCTGGTCACTGCCTAAGCAGGTGCTTTCATCCACTGAGCTATCTGGCTGGCCCAGAATTTTGGAATATTTTAATCAAGGTCTTTGGTCAGGGTCAGCTTTAAAATTTGACTCAATGTCTAGAAATAGGCCAAGTTTCAAATCTTAGCCCTGCCTCTTTTTAAAACATTTTTAATTAGTGCATTTTTGTCATACATATTGATCACATTCATCATGAGGAATTTATACCTGTGTATATCTCTTAATTCTTTATTCCCTGTACCCCTCCATGCCCTTCAAGCCCTCTTGCCCTCCCCATTTACAAAAGCTTTATTTCCATGTATTCCCTTCCTTTCCTCTTTTATCCTCACCCCTTTTATACATATCTGTTAATATACTAGAAGGGAGAAGTTTTAAAAAATCATTGTATTCAATTCTCTGGTTTTTCTTTCACATTTTATTTCTTGCTCAGTGAAATTTTAAGTACTTAATGTTGAAAATTAGAAATTTCAGGCTTTATAACAGCAAAATAATGTCCCTCAGAGTTCTGTCTATAAAAGTGTGGTTAACTTTTTGTGGCTTATAGAAACCTATAATACTAGGTCATCCTCC